CCGGCAGGCATATTGGTGTCCTTGAAAGAGACACCAACATGGCGTCTTCATACAAAGCTTTATAAATTTAGGTAAACCGTTTTTCCGAACATCTCGCATTTGAAATATTACGCAGACCTGATTCTTGGCAAGGCTTCTTGTATATTTATCTTCTTTCATTTCCTAGATTCTAGACCTTCTGTATTGAATGGTTTGCATTTTTATTTTTCATTGCGTGACGGTGCAAACGGAGAATAGGAAAGACTTGCCGCGATTAATCATCGACGCGTCGTACGGATCAAATTTCGTGGCCATTCCATTTTTGTCAGTCGCTAACCGTTGCCGAGAGGTTATTTTGGCAGTTGGGGACGCGTTTTAGTGGCCTTTGTAAAGGGGTGGCCGTTAGCAGAAGTTCTAATGGAATATTGTATAAACCAACATACAAACTGGACCATGACCGTTGAAATTGTACCTAATTAAGGCCTCCACAGTTCTTATTTTTTAGAAGTCAAATTTAATATTTTACACTGAGTTACCATTTTAAAAGTCTACTTAGTTTAAATACTATTACTATGCAAATGCATGAACTTAAAGCACTAGTTACCATCTTCATGGCCCTAACTAATTACACTGATAAACTGAAGTTCTTTGTCTCAACTTGAAAGTATCTAAAACGTCCGCCATCCTCGAAAAAGCTATTCCAGTAATACTTTTTCAAACAAAACAAAAGATTCAAACCACAATTACCAAATTGCCTATTTGTAGAGAGTGACATGCATGTTTATTTGTTGCTGCTGCCGTAAGAGTTCCTGAACTTTCTTGATTTACTGATACCATATTCAACATTTTCATTCAATGTTAATTCAGGCACGAAAAATAACAACAACAACAACAACAAATTCAAGACTTGAAGAGGTATTTCAGTTAAATATCAACTGTAACGGTTTTGCTGGTGTCAGCAGCAAAAAGCGCTATTGTAAGACTGGAGGACACTGACTGAGTGCAGAGGACGAGAATAAACTGCGTCAGGATTAGCTCAGTCGGTAGAAAAAAGTTTGACAGCAGAGCGGGAGGCCGTTTGGGTTCGATTCCTGGGGCCGGACCAATACTAAGGGTCTTAAAAAAGGTCATGCCTTTGTCCTAGCTGTAAATTAAACGGCTAGACCTTCGCTTGCCCTCGGATGAACTCGTATAAAATGCAGTCCCGTTTCCAGTAAGTACGAGACGCAAAAATAGTGTCCCCTACCAAGTATACTTTCGTGCTAAATACATTGACACTGAAATAATACAGATCAATACAAGTGACTGTATTTTTTTTCAATTCACCCCTCTCAGTCCTTATGTTCTCTGGACATCATCTTGCTTTCACCTAATCTGGTTATAAATCGAGAGTAGCCAATTTTGTCAGTTTCTGTATATTTGATTTCAATTAAAAGCTGTAACGTGAAATTAAATTGCGTATCAGTCCTTTCAGAGTAATACATCTAGAATAGCATATCAAACAAGCTTTTAGATCCGCAAGAAATGACCCATCTCCTCCTGTCAAGAGTCAAATGAGAGGTCCTATTGGCGGTAGGACACGCAATACCTTTTGGGTTATCCATCCGTCCTTTTTTCCTTCTTTTTTTTCTCGACGGAGACAGTTCATATGCCACGCATAGGCGAGAAAATCCCCGTGTATAAAGACCCTTTACCCTTTACCCTCGATCGCCTCAGCGGTAAAGAGTCTTTGATACGCGGACATTTTTCCCGTTCATTAGCCCGACGGCTATGCCATGCTGATGAGCCCCAATAAGGGCGAAACAGCTGTCCGTGGCTGCCACTGCCCGGGTAATATGGCTGCGCGCATGCGTGAGTTACTGGTTAGGCCGTGGGTTGGTGCATGTGCCCCTTTGCTTTAAGTTTGTCTTATAAAAGATAATGCAAAAGTAAGGTTTACATGAAGCATTACCCAAACGTCATTTTAAGGAATATTATGGTATTTTCCGCAATGGTTTACTTGGATTCCAAGCGTGCCTATCGCCCCACTTCACCTCACTCCCCAACCAGCAGATTCATGCATACAAAAACTCCAATGTAAACAAAATTTGCGTTGCAGATATAAGATTCTTTAGCTCAGTGGAGATTTGGAGATTGTTTTTGTTTGATTCACCATTCTCACATTGCCCATATGCACCTACCATCTTGTTTAGCTCCCTCCCCAACCCCCTTCCCCCTCTCCCCGGTGAAATTGGAAACAATGGTCATGGTGAACAAGGTGTATTAAGGGCAATGTGACAATGGTGAATGTGTTTTCAAAAGGGATTTTTTTCCCTCTTTAAATCACGCAACCCCTTGACCAGAGGGTGAATGGAAGGCTCCTAAAGTTATAAAGTAGAGATTTAAGAATTTCTTTGTTTCAGTTGGTTGAAAAGTTTGTTGCTTTAGCCTTGTATTTGTAGCTTTGGTTACTAACGTCGTGGTCGATTCTGATTCGATTCGTGAGTAAGAAAACAAATGAACTTGTCCATCTCATAAAAAG